AATGGCACAACATGTTACAAACTAAACCATTACAAGAGAATTCATAACAATACACAACATATTACAAACAAAACCCAAATTAAAACATCCTAAAAATGCTACAATGAAAACAACAAATAATAGCTTCCAAAATTTCTTTCAATTGACAATGTTCTTCACTTGTTTTTCAAGTTCCAATAATTCTGCATTTTGTTACTCAGTTGTAACCCTCTGCTATTGAACCTCCATTTTTACTGCATCAAATTCCTTTCTTAACTTTTCCAACCTATGCTTTTGCTTCATTAAACATTAATCTTTCTCGTCTTCCACTTCTTCATAAAACCAATAAAATGTTATACTAGAATTTGTGAGCATTGCAAGTTTTAAAAGACAGAGAAAATTAAACTAACCTTAAAATGTGGACAAGTCCAAAATTGTTTGCCAAAATTGCTAGTTATTGTTGTCCTACGAAGAACATCTAAGTCTCCACAACGATATGTTGGTTTCCATCGCACATTATAATCATAACTTCACGTGCTCTCCTGTTTCGCACTAGATGAACAACATGCAAATTTCATTGTTGATAGAAATCACAGTTTCAATGTATGTGGATGGATGATAAATGAGTGTTTTACTCTAATTCGATTTAGGGTTCCATAAATCTGCAGAAATCAATATTTTCAAAAATGTTGGTGAATAAAACGAAGAAAATGACCATCCAATACCACACGAGTGCAAAGACTAACACCGTTTGAGCCAAATTAACGTTTCGAACCAAAATAAAATATTTTAGAGAGAAGGGATAAAACTGATATATTTTTAAATTAAAAGACCAAAATAAACACAAAGATAAAATATAAAGAACAAAAGAAATATTTAACTTTAATTTAATTGATATGCATATTTACACCTCCGTGACTTTTTTTAATGTTTATTAAAAAAAAAATACTAAGAAAGTTTTTAGATGGACTGTGATGTGATGCAAAAAAAAAAAAAAAAACATTTACATTGGGCATAACATTAGTTGTCGTTTTAAGATTCAGTTTTTTTGGTCATTCTATTTTTAGTGATTTAGTTTTAAAATTCTATTTTAAAACTAAGTATGTGCAATTTTTTGGTCGTTTGAACGGTCACAACACAAACATGGAGGAGCAACTCGACCTGAACCCTAACTCGGTGAACGAACTCAGTGAGTCCTCGTTACCTCCTCTCGAAGACGACGATACACCGGTTCTGAGTTCCTACGCTCTCGCCGCTCTCCAAGAATTCCTCTCCTCGGAGCAGAGTCATTCCGACGCCGGGGACTCTGAGGTTTCTCTTGTATCTGAAGATTGGAGGCTGAGTCAGTTCTGGTACGATGCAGAAACTGCAAAGACGGTTGCTGAAGAGGTTCTCACTCTTTCCAATGGCGTTGATTCCCGCGTTGCCTGTATCGCTTGCCCTACCCTCTATGCTTATCTTAAGGTCTTTCCCTTATTTCTATTTTTTGTTTTGTAACTGTTTTTTGATGAATTGTTTTTCTGTTGAAAATTGTTTGTTTTATTTGTATAATAGAAGTTATTAAGAAAAGATTTCAAGATTAACGATTCGGACAGAAGCATGATGTTAGATAAAATATTATAACGAAAGTTGATTCGTGTAGCCAATCCCACTTAGTGGGATAAGACTTGGTTGTTGTTGTTGGTGCATAAATTTTAATACAAAGTTCTATCTTTAGTACTACTATACTATATTAACAAATGGCTTGAGGGAAGATGTTAGCATTTCTCTTGATATTTATTGATATTCAATTTTCAGAAAATGGATCCAAATGTTTCTGTGCAACTTCTTGAATACGACAAACGTTTTGAGCAATATGGAAGTGATTACACATTCTATGACTACAATCACCCCGAGGACTTACTGTCAGATTTGAAGCATTCCTACAAAGTTATTATTGCTGATCCTCCTTACTTGGTGAGTTAATTGCTGTAATTTTACATGCTTTAAGTTTATTTAGGGGTGGACAAGTGGTTGGTTTTGGGTCCAAAACCTGGTGCGATCACCCACTGCTGACCATTTGTGCAATCAGTTGGCGGTTTAACTGGCTGTCGGATACATGGGTGGGTTGCATTGGTTTTTCCTCTAACACTTTTTTCTTGTCGAATCTTCAATCATCCAATTGACTACCATAAAAAAGTAGTAAACTTTGAAAAACAAACAAACAAGAACTTTAAAGAGGAATTGAAGTCTTTTCTACATGAAAGTTAAAGTTGCTGAAACTTAAAAGAAAGAACCAAAGAAGGAAAAGGGTAAAAAATGTATTGAAGAGATTGAGTAAAGTAAAGTTGCAACTTTTCAACAATCAACGCAGAGTACTATTTCTTTCAAAACCTCAATAGATCTAAACACCTTCAAGAGATGAGAAGTAACTGTTGCATTTATTTTTGTCTTTGTTGGATCGAAGATCTCTTGAATAGGGGGCTAGTGGAGAAGATAAACTTGCCCATGAGATGGATACAACATGATTAGGTGATTGGCAGACCATCAAAGGTTGCTATTTGCTAACAAAGTTGTGTGGAGCTCATGGACGTATTGTGATGTTTGTGTTCTGCAGCAGAGAAAAAGAAGGGAAGTGTTTGGTTTGTGAGAGAGAGAGGAGTGAGTAAGGGCTTTTTATCGGTATATCTATCTTAAAAGAGAATTTAATTCATATATACTATTAGTGTTAAACGTTTTTACACTGTTAGTCAATACAATCATTATCATTAGATCATTAGAGATGTCTGGCTTTTAACATGATGAATGACTCAATTGATCTTCGATTCCACTCTATCTATGCCTTATAACTCAGTTGAGTTGTGGAGGATTAGTTGTTTCTCATGTAAAAACTATAAGTTAGAAGTAAAGTTTCATCGTACTCGGAGTGAATACTGGCGACAAGCATTCATATTTGTATTTGTTATGTAATCTGTGGAACTAAAATAGTGTAGATTTTTTTCTAATTTATATAGCAATGTCCTTGTTTCTCTTATTAAGCCCTGGTTGCTTTGATAACAGAGCAAAGAGTGCTTGGAGAAAATTGCTGAAACAATTTCCTTTCTCAGACAACCTGGAGAGTCATTTTTACTTCTACTCACAGGTAACAATGAACTTTATGCTTTTTGTTTTGTATCATTGCATTGAACATAATGATACTCATAATAGAATGTTGATAATGATATCAATTTAAAAAATTGCTAAATGTACAATAACATTCAAGGTTGGGTTTGTAATTATAGGTGAAGTACAGAAAGAAAGGGCAGCTGAGATCTTGGGGTTGCACCCTTGTGGTTTTAAACCTCATCACACAAGTAAACTTGGAAATGAATTTCGGGTGTTTACTAACTATGACCCTGGAACAAGACTGGGAGGATGGGAAAAATAGGTGACTTTCCTCTGCTTGCTTTGGATGTAGTATGTATGTAAGGACCAGGTTCCCTGCTATCAAGTTGTCACAGACGGCAAAAGTTGATCTATGTTGCCGATCTCCTTAGTTGTTGTAAAACAAATTACTTAGTTGTTGTAAAACAAATTAAAGAAGACATTAAAATATGTGTATGTGTCAAATATGTGAAAGCGGCAACTTTTGACATCAGAGAATCTTAATCTGTTTTCAATTTATTTTTCACCAATTTGGATAATCTCAATGTCATTTCATCTCAGGTTAAATATTATATTTAGTTTATCTACTGAATGTGATTTGCAGTCAAGAAGAAGTTTTATATGCCAAACTCAGCTGTAATACCTTAGCTTCCTAACAGCAAATGATTATCATGCTAATAAGGTACTAGTGTGATTAATTGATGAATTAGTATGCTAATGACCTTATTTAACTAAGAGTGACATGAAAGTGAAATATGTAGAGTTGCAATGGCAAAGTGGTATTTTAGCCTAGCTATATATTAGTAAACTGGACCACTTTTTCCTCATTTTCTACTCACACCATTCCACTCAGAATCAGAATTGGAGAAGAGTCTTGGGGAAGAAAACGTGAAGTTGGAGAAAGGGAAGAAAAAGCGAGTCCACTTTCTTCATCAACATTCCATGTGCAATCATCAAGCTTCGAAACTTTGAAAACCATCATCTTACTACTTCTTCAACATTCAATTCAGAACTCCTCTCATCAAGGTGAGTTCATAGATAGGGGTTAGAATCCTTTAGTGTGGGGATTTATGCATGTCGGGGATATTGAGGTTTTCTTAAGTGGTGATTGTTATACATGTTTTAAATGAAATCACTATGTGCCTGTTACTGATACAAAATGCTTTGAAACAGAAAATTCTGGGTGACGCTCGTCGCTACGGAAAAGTGTCATAACTTGAATTCCGTAACTCTATACGGATGCATTGGAAAGTTAGTTCAATGAACTATCTTATTATGGTGAAACCTCATGTTTCCACATTATTAGGTTATATGTTATTTATTATGAAGTTTGTTATGCTTCGATGTCCTACATCAAGAATAGTCTATATCCTATATAGAGTCGAGTATTATTCCGTCTGTATTATATACATTTTTATAGTACTCTTGTATGTCCATTATTTCATGTTGTTTCAGTTCCAAAATTTAATATGTCCATTATTTCATGTTGTTTCAGTTCCAAAATTTAATATGTCCATTATTTCATGTTGTTTCAGTTCCAAAATTTAATATGTCCATTATTTCATGTTGTTTCAGTTCCAAAATTTAATATTTTACGTAACATGATTCTAGATAGATAATGTCACGTGGAGTCTTACAAAACACTCTTATGTAAACTCCAAAAAAAAGAGTAGTACTAAAATGAATATTATGTTTTTATTTTATAAAATATTATGAATTATGACTAAAATAATAAAACAACATTCACATAAAATACATGAGTTTTTTTCTTAGTAATTCATCATTAGTTACAAAATAAAGTGCAGAAAATTACCAACCTAGTCTTCTTTAAGAAAAGGGGAAATTAAACGATAGTACAAATCCTACTATCCATTAAAAGACATGCTTAAAACATAAAACTAAGAGTGGTTTTTATGTTGCTCCTCTTGTGGTTTCACAATGAGAATAGGCGCTTTTGCATGATGTGCACAATAGTCGCTTACACTTCCAAGAAATGCTCTGAATCCAAAATTTTAATATACCAAGTTTACTACTTCAATTTCAACATCAACAATTTATTAATAAAAATGAATAGAACATGTACTAAATAAAATTGTACTTGCAAAACAAATGACCTTTTGAGTGTGCCAAGTCCACGACTACCCATGATTAAGAGATCAACTTGCATTTGTTCTGCAGCTTGACAAATCATTTCTCTTGGGTCTCCATTTAGAATTACACTTTCTGCTTTTACCTACAATTCCATTGATCAATACAAATCTAATGAAGACTATCTGTAGGGATCTGTAGGGTGTCTTAGAAAAGCGGTGGAGTCTGCCTCGCGAATAAATTCAGATAAAATAGACATGCCTGACTGTGGGACTTGTTTAGTCTCCCTAACTATTTGAGTACACAAGAAAGTGAAAGAAATATGAATTTACCAGCTTATCCTTGCACATTTGCAAAGCCCTTGAAAGAATAACTACAGATTTTTCTTGTTGAGCTTTCTTCACCGAATCCACAACCACAAATGCAGGATAAAAAGCTGTTGAGAAATGAACACATCACAAAAGGAAACCTTACAAAATTGCAATATTGCAATCTTAATATAAATAATAGTAAAGAAGGATACGAACCGGCACCACCTGGTCCAATAGCATGCACGTAGTTTTGAAAAGTGGGTTCAACATGAACAAGAAAAACCATTCCCTCATTTTCAGAACTTGTTGCATCATCTTCCATACTAGTCATAACACTGAAGAGGTTTTCAAGTGCCCATTTAAGAGCATACAAGCTTCCATCACTATCGTCTATTGCTACCATCACTTTCATCTTCATCCTCTTCATTTCTGCACCTCCACCAGATTCCTCCATCACCCCCTTCTTTTACTAGAATAGAAAAAAAAGAAAGATAAAATGGAGTTATTTAAAGTGAATGAGTGCAAAACAATTAAAAGAAAAGAATTCTAAATTTTCATTTTCTTGAATTAAAAATTAATTTATTGAAAGAGAAGTTTTATGAATTTTTTTTAAACATATCTTGGATTGAGCTGGATTTGATACTTGTCAAAATCAGGTGTACCATGTTTGCATGACGAGTGAATACGTGTAAGCCTCTGCATATATATTACTCACTCCCTTCATGCAGAAAAATATAAATTTAAATTTAAATTATAAAATGAAAAAGAAAATACATATTTTTTTTCTCAATAAGAGACATACACTACAATAAATTTTAATTTTATTTTTAAAATACTAAAATAATAATACAATAAGTAAAGTATAAATTTCTTGATTAATTATATGTGTACAATAATTTTACACTCACACAACACTATCTTTAAACTCAAAGAATAATATCTATATGAAATATTCTTATATTGTCGATCAATAAAAAATGTATCCTTTTCAATAACATTTTTATTTTTAAAAAATTGATATATATATATATATATATATATATATATATATATATATATATATATATATATATATATATATATATATATATATATATATATATATATATATATATATATATATATATATATATATATATATATATATATATATATATATATATATATATATATATATATATATATATATATATAAAACATAATTTTAGACTGCCAATAATATTATCTTTAAACTCTTATAAAATAATATTCCTCTTCTGAAAAATATAATTTGTATAATACCGCCTACTCAAATTATATATTTTCACATAAATTAAGATATACTTTAAATTTATATGAAACAATTTTTCTATTAAAAACGTAAAAAAATAAATAAATAAATTAAGAAAAGAGAATGAAGATCTACTATACTTAAGGCAAGAAAGATCATCAAGAAAGATTCAATTCTTATATTTTTTAGTACGAGTTCAAAAATGTATATTTTAGAGGTCATTAAGAAATGGACATCTCACATTCATATATCATATCTATTAGTTGTTTATATTTTTTAAGCCAACAACAACCTGTTTATTTCGATCCTAATCATTGGTGCAAACGCTTCATCAAAGTTTATTCCTTCTCTCTGAATAAATTATTTAACTACAAATCTTACTTTGTGTCTTGTTACTTCTCCTTTTGAATTCAACTTCACTTTGTACACCCACTTCATATCAATTTCCTTCTCACCTTGTGGCAATTCGACTAGTGACCAAAATTTGTTGACCTCTATGGGTTTTAGTTCCTCCACCATGGATATTTCATCTATTTCGAGTCCTTCAATGCCTCAGTTACATTGACTGGCTCAATATATTCATAGAAAGTATAATATATAAGTTCACCTTCATTATGTACCACATCATATGATGTTATCACACATTCATGCAACCCAACATACATGTTTCTTGCTCTTTGAGGTCTGCTTGTGCTTGCTTGAACTCTATATTCTTCTGACCAAATCTCTTTTTTCAGTTTCACTAGCTGATTCATCACATAAGATTCTTACTTAATTCTTTTTATGCTAGCTTTCTAGTCCCATTCTTTCAACTCATCAATGATTACAACTCTGTTGATCACTACTTGCTTGCTCACAAGATCATACAATTTGCAACCTCCAGTTGAATGGTATTCTATCAGGATCATTAGGCTTGACTTATCATCGAGTTTCTTCCTCAACTAATCAGACACAAGTTTATATGCTATTGATCTAAATACCTTTAAATAACTCAAGCTAGGCTTGACACCAGACTAATATTCTTCTGGTGTAATCCACTCCAGCTTCTTAGTTGGACATTTGTTAAAGTTGTATGTCGCAGTTGACACATTCTCACCCCACAATTCATTAGGTAAGTATTTGCTTCTTAGCATACTCCTTATCATGTTCATGATGGTCATATTCTTACTCTCAACAGTTCCATTTTTTTGTGGAGTGTATGGTGGCTTCACCTCACGCATAATCCCCTCATTTCCATATAGAGCAGAAAAATCATTAGAAAAATACTCCCCACCACCATCAGTTCTGATGGTCTTGAGATTTCGACCACTTTGTCTATCCACCATAAATTTAAACTTTGTGAACACCTCAAGCACATCATTTTTCTTATTGATTAGGTATGTCCATAGTTTACAACTGAAATAATTTATGAATGTAACAAAGAGTTGTTACATCTAATTAAATTCACATGGATAAGACCACAAACAACATAGTATATCACTTCAAGAATAACTTGAGAGCTTCTTCCTTCATCTTTGTTGAATCTTCTCTCGTGTTGCTTAGCTTGCACACATTTCTCACATACTTCATCTGAAATATGAATCTTTGGCAATCTTGAGACCATATTCTTCCTCTTCAAGTTGTTGATATATATGAAATTAAGATGTCCAAGTCTGTAGTTCCATAGGCATTGACCATTGCTAGCTGCAGTTGCCATACACTCATGTTCCATCACATCAAGTTCAATCTTGAAGGTTCTGTTTTGAGAAATTGACTCCTTCAAGATTAAGTTGTCATTTGAGTCGAGTACTCTCACTATCTTATCTTTGATTAACAATTTGTAATTGTTATCGGTTAGTGGCCATATGCTGAACAAGTTACTTTTCATGCCTATTATGTATAATATGTAACACCCTAATTTTTTTATATTTATTTTGTTAGAGTTTTGGAGTATTTTTAGTTTAATAAAAAGTTAGTAAATTTTGGTTAGAATTAGTGTATAAGTGAGGATTGGTGGTTTAGTAGTAAACTATATTTAGTTATATTTTTAATAATTTAATTAATAAAGAAAATATGAGAGCATTAGCTTTGGGGAAATGAAATAAACTTTTTAAATAAATTAGGGAGATGGGTGGAGTTATAGAGAGTTGTGGGGAGTTTTTAGAAATTAATTAAAATAAAGGAGAATTGGGTTTTCTTTATTTAAGAAAGAAAAATAAGAAGAGTTTTCAATATGTGAAAAATTGTGAAAGAGGCAAGGTGTGATACCCTAATTTTTATCCCTAAAATTTCACCTATCACATCATTTGCATCTAACCAAAGATCACAAGCATGGCATCCTTCAAACCTCTACCCTTTGGTTTAACCTTTGTGGGAGATCACCAAGCACCCTTTGTGTTTCTGTTTCCATCTATGCTTGTTTATATTTTAACTTTGCTAACCTTATTCAAAATACAAAAATATGTGTTGCTTTCTTTTCTTTTTGTATAAGGTAGAGACTTGCAATTAAAGGATCAAGTTTGGTTTCTAAATTAGAGTTTTTGTTCCCAAGGTCAAAGTTTTGGTCAACAAGTGGTCCACAAGAGATTTTAATTCAAGGCATGATCTATAATCTTAGGTCATATTCATGTAAAGCTTCAGTGAACTTCATTTTGTCAAGAAAAATTCAAATTTGGTGTATGATTTCAAATTTGATTCAAGTATGGTTTATGTGTTTATTTCTATGCCATCTCCATCCAATTCTCAAGCAATTATCAAGGTTATTCAAGGGAAAATCAATATTCCTTCATTTGGTATTCAAGTGTTCAACATTGGGCCTTTGGATGCAAGAGAATAGCAAAAATCACAATATGGTACATGTTTGGTTGACCTAAAATCAAGTATGACATGTCTTTTGGTCCAAACACCATAAATATCTCATTTCTCAACATTTTTGGAATCTACTTCAAGCCAAATGTCATATTTGAACCCCTCTACAACTTTATTTCAAGGGTCAAACATCAATTTTTCCTGTAAGACCATCAATTTTGGAATAGTCTAAGATGCCTATATGTTTACAAAAGCTGGTTCAAAACTTGGTTCGACCTATTGGCAAACCTAGAATCCAGGTCATGACTTGAACTTATCATCCATGCCATTTTCAACTCAAACATCTTTTGATGTAATTCTTTTTGCATTTAACTCTTCATCATGAGGAGATCATGTGATACAAAAAACATCTCAATGTTAGAACATAGTTTGATTCTACAACCCTCAATTAGAGTTTTGATGATAACAAAATACAAGAATAAATAAATTGTAAGATTTATATATAAGACATATATGCTACTTAAAATTATGCTGTGTATTTACAGAAGTTCTGATGGAATCAGCATCAGAAGATCAATATCAACATCAGCATCAGAAGATATGTCAGCATCAGAAGATCAATATCATGTGCTACACACTGAAGTTACCAGATCATACGCTGAAGCCTGATGACCAGAATCTGCGCATAAAATACTCTGACTCTGATCAAGACCTTTAGCAAGTCATCAGCACTCAGAAGCGTCAGCATAAGCTAAAGCAAAGAACATTCTGAAGCGTTATCAATAGCAGAACACTCTGAAGCATTACTAAGCATTCAAGACAGATTTATTTCCAACGGCTTTATCCAAGACAAGATCTTCTCAAAAAGGAAAGAACGTTATGGTCATTGAAAGTGATTTATGGACACCAACGTATCTTTGCCTTGGCTTTATAAATAAGTCTGTGTGAGAAAAGAAAAGGCTAATAATAATCTTCACGCATATACACGCCTACGTAAACAAACTCACTCATACAATTTGCTAAAGCTTTAAACCACGCCTACTCAAAAGCATTAGCAGTACAGTTTCATTCTAAGCTTAATATTGTGTATTATCACAGTTGTGATATATAGTTTTATTAGAAAACATCAAACACACTTTTTTTCATTTATCTGTAAGAGAATTTCCTTGAGATAAACCGGTCTGTGGTTAGACTCAAGAAGGCTTTAACAATTGTTAAAGTAGTTGTTGTATTCAGTTGAATATAGTGGATTAAGACCTCGTTGGAGAGAGGCGAAATCACTTTGACGGGTGGACTGGAGTAGTTTGAGATCAAACGAACCAGGATAAAAATACAGTGTTGTCTGCATTTGATTTTAAGTTTTACAATTCAACCCCCCTTCTTGTGTTTTTCACATC